GCTCGCTGAAGGAATAAAGAATACAGGCCCCCATGCTCGCTGAAGGATTTAAGGATACAAGCCTCCATGCTCACTGAAGGATTTAAAGGTACAGGCCCCCGTTCTCGGTGAAGGATTTAAAGATACGGGCCCCCATTCTCGGTGAAAGATTTAAAGATAGAGGCCTTCATTTGGCGGCACGGTGGCTCAGTGACGAGCACTGCTGCCTGACAACGCCAGGGACCCAGGTTCAATTCTAGCCTTGGGCAACTGTCTGTGTGGAGTTTGCGCATTCTCCCCCTGTCGGCGTGGTGCTCCGGTTTTCTCCCACAGTCCAAAGATGTGCAGTTTGGCGGATTCGCTATGCTAAATTGTCCATAGCATCTAGGGTGGGAAATGCAGGGATAGGATAGGTTTGGCAGTGGGGTAAAAAAGAGTCTGGGGGGTATGCTCTTCAGAGGTCAGTGTGGACTTAATGTGCCAAATGGCCTCCTTCCACACTGTAGAGATTCTATGATAAAATACAGGCCCTCATTCTTAGTGACCTGGAAACAATAAGGACCATAGATTCTGGAAGCCAGCGTTTATAGTTGGGAGACTAGATAAGCTCAGCAGGTCAGACAGCATCCGAGGAGCAGGTAAGTCAACGGATCAGGACTGAGAAGTGGGTGAGCTCGGAAGTAAATAAAGGGAGGGGTGCCAGGGTGGGGAGAAGTGTAGGAATGATGGTGATAGGTGGATGCAGGTAGAGGGTTTTGTGATTGGTCAGTGGGAAGGGTGAAGTGGATTGGTGAGTAGCAAGATGGAGAGGTTAGGTCAGCTCAGGAGTGGGAGGGCTGGACATGGGATAAGGCTGGGGGTGCAAGGATTTTGAAGCTGGTGAAGTCAATGTTGAGGCCATTGGGCTATAAGCTCCCAAGGCGAAATATCAGGTGTTATTTCTCCAGTTTACATTCGGCCTCACTCTGACAATGGAGGAGGCCAAGGATGGACTTCTGTCAGGGAAGTGGGTGGAGGAATTAAAATGGATGGCAACCGAAAGGTCAGGTTGGTTGATGCTTGCAGAGTGCAGATGCTCTGCGAACCAGTCCCCAAGTCTGCATTTGATCTCCCTGACATACAGACCACCACATCAGGAGCAATAGATGCAATAGATCGGGTTGGATGAAGTGCAGGTGAATCTCTGCCAGATCTGGAAGGGTTGTTTGGGACCTTGGATGGAGGTGAGAGAGCAGGTATTGCACCTCTTGCAGTTGCAGGGAAAGGTACCAGGTGTGGTGGAGAAATTGTTGGGGAGTGTGGAGCTGACAAGGGAGAATGAATGGTACCTGTGGAAAGTGGATGGGGTGGGGAGGGAAATATCTTTCTGGTGGTGGGGTCTGATTATAGTTGGCAGAAATGTCGGAGGATGATGCATTGGATTCGGAGGTTGGTGGGGTGGTACATGAGGATAAAGGGGACTCTGAACCTCTCCGTCCCCAGAAACTAACTCACCACCAACATTCATTTCAAACCCACTGATTCCCACAACTAAATGTGGAGCTGGAAAAGAACAGCCAGTCAGACAGCATCTGAGGAGCAGGAAAGTCAATGCTTTGGCTTGAAATGTTGACTTCCCTGCTCCTTGGATGCTGTCTGACTGGCTGTTCTTTTCCAGCTCCACATTTAGTTGT